ATTAGGTGGTGCTGTCAACTACACTGGAAGGCGTTGATTGGTGGAGTGTTGTATTGTGGCTTGGGGGTTTCTCGCCAAGAAGTAGCAGTGTGCGTTCTGTTCCAGTCGATTGTTTGATAATTGTGGGGGTTTGCTGTAAGATCTGTATGGCCTTGTGCATCTGGAGCGTTGTGAAGTCGTTAAATCGGCGTTTTACTTTAGTGTTTTGTACTAGGTCCTGACGTGCGAGTTTTTGGTTGTGGATACGGGCACAATGTTCTTTTATGGCTCCATTTTGTAGGTGCATTGTCAGGCGTCTTGACAGCGTCGTGGTAGTCATTCCGATGTAGGAGGCGTTTGCCAGGAGCTCACAGTCTCCCTTATTACACTTGTACTCGTAAATGACGTTCACTTGCTGTAGATCTGTTGTCTTTTTATCAGGGCTGTTTTTCATGATAAGGTCCGACGTCGTGGTAGACTTGTAGTAGATGTTGAGTTGTAGTTTTGTGTTCTGTTTCTTTGGTGTAGTATTTTTGTAAATGATATCCTTTAGAATCCGTTCGTCTGTCTTGTATGCAGTGGAGAATTGGTTTTTGTAGTAGACTTTGAGTTGTTCAGTGGAGTTGTCGGTAGTGGTGTTTTTTTGGCGGCTGTCCAGGTATCGTTGAAGTGTCTTGTCGAATGTGGTATTACTATATCCATTATTGATGAATGTTTGTCGGAGTGTAGCAATTCTGTTGTGAAATAGATTCCAATCTGAGGATATTTTGTAGGTACGGTGGATGAGGGCATGGATGGTTCCAGTTTTGTATCTTTGAGGGCATTCACTCTGAGCATTGAGGTAGATTCCCTGGCTAGTGGGTTTTTGATAGACAGATGTGGCATATGTGCTGTTGTTAGCGTCGATATGTACATCCAGAAAATTGATGGTTTTGTCAGTGGCTATTTCATGAGTGAATTTAAGCATTAAAACGGCTTATCGACTTCTTGAGAAGAATTCCAAGAAGAAAGTAAACCTACAGACATCGGTCTTATTCAACAAAATCTGAACTCAGATGTTGCACCATTGCTAAGTTTCTTTTGGGAGGTTGAGTACTTTTGTCAACAATGAGCAGATCAAACTAGCAATATATATATATAATCAGGTATAAGGGCAGGGAATCAGCAGTAAGGTTTACAAGGTGAAATAAAGCAAATGCCAAAATAGCCTTGTGAAAAATTCCAACTCAACAGTAGGCATTCAACAAGAGGTGATGGGCTTCACAATTAGTTTTTTCTGGCTTAATGCAGATTCTGGGACGTCATCCTTTGAGACGTCATCAGCCATGTGGTAGGTTCCACTGTTTCCAGTACATATACACATGCACAAGATTTTTTTTTCTTTGTAGTTTGAATTTTCTTTTTCTATAAATTTGCAAGAGAGAAATTATCAACACTTCACCACTGGAAAAATTGAGAATGATGACTAGATGGAGACAAATGCAGAAGCAGAAGAAACTGCAATGTGGTGTAAGTAATGTGACACAAAAAAGATTGCCCACATTCCTTCCTCCCTGCAACATTACACCAGATATCAATGATTCAAGAGAAGCTGTACGATTACAATCTTTATGAAAAGTTACATGAAAAAGGTGAAAGGAGTCACCTCCCACAGAGGAAGAGATCAACCCAATGAGTTGTTTAACACAACTGGTCACGGAAGAATGAGATAAGTCAAAAGCAGATGTAACAGCAAATAGAAAAAAAAAAATACATCTATGTCTATTGTCTTGAAAGAGAGTATTGCAGGTGAAATAACAGTGAACTGCACGAACAGGACAAAGAAATTATTTGGATCTAAACGACTATTTATTGAAGAAAGGAAAAGAAGGGTAATCAAAGAAAACACCCAATCATCATCTTAAGCAGTCAAGTGTTAGAGAGGAGTGAGTGGTCTGAGACAAAAATCAACCTGTCCCTGTGGTAAAGACTGCAGGAGGCATACAAGTCAAAAATAACATAGCAATATCTCCCAGAATTGAGAATAAGAAAAAAATACATCTTAAGAGAAAGATGGTATAAGGAACAGGTGGCAAAAGGTTCAAATGGAGGACATGTAAGAGCCAACAGAATCAAACAGAAATTCCAGTCCAGAACATGTGTCCCAAAATCTCACAGTTTAAGAGAAGAAATCAAATCTATGTAAAAAGAAAAAAAAATGAATATTCATATCAGAAGCTCTAAATAAATCAGTTTTAAACATTTTAACTTCAACGAGCAGATGTATCTATGCAATTTATGGTGAGAGGTTTATGAAATTTAATAAATCATTTGTTGATCTTATAGAGAAGGGTCACTGTTTTATCTATAGCTACATTTTTAATGGGGTTTATGGCTATGTTTGTGCTCATAACCTTTTTTCTTTAAGTTGTCCTTTCTTTCTTGATAATCTTCTCTTACATACTTTCTTTGGCATGATCACACCCTGATTGACGTGTAAAATAAAAAAGGAATAATGTGTATATTTAGATGTATTATAATAAAGTGCACACTGTTGATAAGTATTGATATGAGGTGTTTAATTCACTGAATATTATATCCCTCAACTGACTGATGAGATTTGGAAACAAAATTATTAACAATTATGAATATAATTTTTTTTTCTGAAATATTCCAGTGGCTATATAAAGATTAAAAGTAAATAAGAAAAAATTATTCATGTCCAATGGGCTTAATTATTTGAATAACATATTATTTTTCTAGTTTAATTTTTTAATCACAAAAGCAATAAGTAACATGTGACTTAACATAGATGTCTATCTTGAAAATATGTATAAACAAAGTGTGAAAAGAAATCCCTCAAACGATTGATGGGATTTGAAAACAAAATGCAATTGTGGAATTAATTTTTTTACCATTTATAAATACAAATAGTGTTTATGTTTTTGTCGTAAGTATACCACATGCAACGAAAGAGATAACTGAAGAAATCCTATCAGTACCCCTAGTGGCCACCCTCACTGACTGTTCTATACTTAGCCAACACTGAAGCTATTAAGTCTATGCCTTTTAAAAGAAAAATAACTTCTTGACACATATTGAATCATTCCTAGTTGGTTAAACCATATTTGACAGGTTCACATGCAAAAGCCTAAGAGGAATTAGATAACAAACTTCTCTCAAATTATAGTAGTATTCTCAAATTGAAGAAAATGGAATGTAAGAATATTTGGTATGCTCACAAAAAGTTCAAAATAAGCACAAAAATTTTGTAATTATCAATAAAAAAAACATGACTGAGCAATGCAGTTAAGAAAATGAATAAACTTTTGGTGTATATATAAAGAGTTCAAGAGGAGTTTTGAGCATGGAGGATGTGTTGCCCTGCCCTTCTATTGGTGTAGGGGTATACAATCAAATGCTGACTGCACCACAGACTTGCACAGTACCTGTTATAAAGTATATGGGTGGGAATTTCATCCCAAGGTTTGGTGCACATGCAAAAATCAGCAGTGGTGTGAGGTATAAACTATCTGTTCTGTGAAGAGGTGAGTATCATTTCTGAATACCACTTTTCACAATAATAAAACTATGCATTCAGCAAGTGTAAAATTCAGTATCACCTATATACAAAAGCTAACAGTGATACAGAGGAGTATTTTCTGTCTGTGAAAACAACTACTTGATTTCCATTAGTTAAAATCAAATGTATATTAAGTTTGTTTGCTTTAGAGCAAAGCCACATTAAGTTATCTGCTGTATCCTCCCCGAATTCTAGCATTGTAAGTTTGTAAACTTACCACTGTCTCACTGGGGGACAAATGTCAATTAAAAGCTGCAACTATAAATGTATTATTAAAAATGATGATGAATTACAATATAGTACCATATAAATGGTATTATAAAATATTAAAGATCTGACAAATGCTGCACATTTCCTTCAAAGTATTACTGTATCATAAGCTACTTACTTTGTAAATCTATAAAAATTAATTCATAACTAGCTATACTGTAATCATCAGTGTAATGATGCTCCATATAATTAGCTTACCAGCCATAAGATTTGTTTGTTTGTTTTTTGAATTTCGCGCAAAGCTACACGAGGGCTATCTGCACTAGCCGTCCCTAATTTAGCAGTGTAAGACTAGAGGGAAGGCAGCTAGTCATCACCACCCACCACCAACTCTTGGGCTACTCTTTTACCAACAAATAATGGGATTGACAGTCACATTATAATGCCCCCACGGCTGAAAGGGCGAGCATGTTTGGTGGGACGGGGATTCGAACCTGCGACCCTATGATTGCGAGTCGAGCGCCCTAACCAGCCATAAGACTTAATATAGGAACTTGCAATTGAAACAAAATATTAGAGCTTCAAAATGACTACAACAATAATTACAAATCTGCAAAAGTTGAGAAATGGAACACAAATTAGTCCAAAGGATTAAAAAAAAACGTATTCTTATCATAGTGCTGAACAGAGTGGGCAATATCATTGTTGTTTTCTTTTTTAATAGTTATGCCTATGTCTCATGTCAAATCTCTACCCTATTAAAAAAGTCTTGGGCTGGAAAGAGTTTACAGAATCATATGCAAGCAAGTTGTTATGTTTATGAATGTGTCATAAGTCATTTCAAAGATTGTCGGGGTTAGGTAAGAGAAACATTTAAAATAATTGTATGATAATACTTATCCAGTAATTACTGACAACTGGTTAATTACTAATCAGCATGTTTTCATTTATCCACATGCCTGCAAATTGTATTAACAACATATTACAGTTTCACAGATACTTTTATGGCCTGAAGTAATGGAACAAATAAAGAATGCAAAATGTCAATAACATTAGTGTCAGAAGTTTTAACACCTACCAGCTGAAGTCTGGATATCAGCTAGCCTCTTCAAGTGTGTCAGACTTTCTGCACCCAGTTGATTTAATATGCCTGGAAGCATGTCTGTGATTTCTGTACAAAGAAAGATACTCCTTTATATTCTGACATCACAACCAATCAAGATTTACTTATCACGAAAATAACCCTACTTATATAAAATTGATAAGCTTATTATATGCGAGTTATAAAATTTCTAATCTTTTAAGTAAACTCAAAATTTTATACTGCAATGTTTGTGTTATAATACTTAAACCTACGTTTTGTCTCTGCATGTCCAGTGATGGCAAAAGTGTTGGCTGTCAAGGAGGCTTGAACTTTTGGGTTATTGAAGTGAAGCACAGTTCCATCATCTTTAATCATGTTCACCTGAAAAGTTTTATTGATCATAATGAACATTTTCATTTGAAAATCACAATAATTCCTCAAAAAAAAACAAAAAAAAAACAAACAACAACTTAACCCTTTAAATTAAGCAGTAACTTCATGAAACCAGCATGTGTACAAATAAATAATGAAGCAGTTATGTGTGACTTTTTAGGAAATCTCAAAATTTATGACAATTTTAAACATATAAGATATTTAGATTTTTCTTCAACCACACACATTTTTTCAAGAAAATCATTTTCCTGTCAACTATTAATAAATATTTTTATTTTTTTTAAGTTCAAATGGTGCATACTCGTGAATAAACAAAGAGCTAATCTTTAATTTCATTTTATGACTTCCCTCCATTAATACTGTATATGAGATTCCACTTTTATTGTTAATTGTTACTGGCATGCAATAAACATTGAGAGGATAAAAGTTAATGTGTAATACCAGAAGTAAATTCTGTTTGATTTTCTTTAACCCTTGAGTACTCATGCAGGATCCATATGGACCCCAACCACATAATGACGACTCTCAATAAAAGTCTGCAAACAGTTTTCCTCTGTTAACTTTACTTGGAAAGGAATTAATATTTGTTTTTTAAAACTGTTTATAAATTTTCCTTTCCCTATTTGTAATGGCTTGAATGTTTTGGACCCCATGTGATCATATAAGTTCCCATGTAACATAATAGTTTTGTTTATCCTTAGCTCTATTTAGGTGATTTATTTGTTAAGCTAGTTAGAAACAGTTCAGAGAGCAAAAAATCATAAAACTAAATGAAAGCAAATGTTGAACTATTATGAGCCTGAGGTTGTTTAGGATAAATAATTGTAATTGTCCACTTGTAAAAAAAAAAAAAGTATTTTTGATTTTTTTCAACTTTTGCTACAGATGATTTCATTATAGTGTTAGAAACTGAAAATAAGAGATAAAGTACAAAGTTTAAAAACTTTTGATATTTGTTTAGATGGTTCTGCAACTTAAATGTGAAACTGTGAGATGAAAAGAAGTACTTTTATCTTTGGCATGAAAAATCGTCATTAAAAATACTTTATTAAAAAATATGATTTTTTTTGTGTGTACAACATACTTTTAATATTTACTAAAACCTTGCCAAATTTCATAAAGATATTATGGTGGTTACAAGGTCAGTCAAATAGACCAAGCCCATCTCCATAAGGTTAATTTTAGAATTTCTTAAGGAAATGATTAAGAATGAAGTAAATGAACCTATCCAAACAACTATCATCATGACAGATAATTTGCAACAATAACAAAAAAACTTTGGTAAATGCTTGACTTTTTATTTTTGATCACCAAATGGAGGATTTATGAAATCACAAACAAAATAGATGTATTGCTTTGAAAGACTTCATACTAAATCTGTAATAAATATTATCTTTTGTTTTTTGAGTTCCTACTAACTGAATAAAACAAATGTTGTTGGTAATAGTTCTGATGAACAAGATAAACACATTATACAAATTTCTTTTTCTTCAATATGAAATTATCTACTTGTTCATTCAGAGGTAGCACCAAATGCTTTGAGAGTGTAAGATGTGGCAAGTGGAAATTACCACTTTTTCTTATTGAAGGGGGTAATCAAATGTGTCTGCTAATTCATGGGTTTACTGAAAATACACCGACATCATCTATCATGAAAAATGCCAATTATGCAGTTTAGTATTAAAAACTAGAGAAACCACCTCTGGGAATAATTTCTCTGGTATCACGTAACACTTTGGAATCCAAATCAGCACTATTTGCGATATAATTTTACCTTTCCACAACACTGAGTACAACTTTTATTGCAACAAAAGTGCAACCCCGGTTCGAAATTTTTTGAATTGTTTGTAATTAATATATTTCTCTTTATATAGCTGATAAATGTAAGTAATGTTTATTTTGGTGATGTTGCTACTGGATAAAAAAGCACGTTTTTAAAAAATTATGCCTAGATTATGACCATTTATTTTTCTTACATTTCAAATAAAATCCAACTTCTGTGTTGGAATATGGATATATTTTGGATAGAAAATAGAGTGCATAAATAGGCTTAAGAGCAAATGCATTGTTCAGTAGCATTTTCAAGGTTAAAAATTCATAGAAATGTTAGGTATAGTATTAAAATATTATTTTTAGAGAAACTTTGAACTTTTTCCTCAAATTCAAGTGATTTGATGCAATATTTTGTTTCTGGATTGAATGTACCCAAGAGAACTTAGTATGTTAGTCATATGCTAGTGCAATACTATACAATATCGTTGAAACAAATTATCCCCTAAATGTGATGGTTTCATTCTCAAGAGTTTTGCAAAACCTTGGAATATTATAGGGCTACACAAACAATGAAATTCCTCAACTGTCAAGAGAATGTAAGCATTTTACCTCTTCAATCCCAGGGATATTATTTACAGACAATTTTTTCAAGGAACTCTGGAGCTTCTTGTCATCTGTTGTTGATGTTCTGTGAACAACCTTTTTCTTACGACGAGCTGTGCCCTGTGCGATAAACATAGACAATGAAATTCCAACTGACCTGATCAATAAAAATGTTTAGATGCTTAAAAAAATTACAGTTAAAGCATCATAAAAAACTATACAGAAATGATTAAAACATCTGTAAGAGAACAATAACCAAATGAAGAATGTTACAGCCAAATAAGATAAGAGAGTGGCATAAATAATAATACAAAATTTTATATACTAAGTTTCTTCCCAAAGTTTCCCAGAACACAACATTAAGTATAACATGATATTAAAAACACAAAACTGGAAACAGTGGAACTGTTTATTTATTTATTTTTTAAATCTTGAACCTGCTGTTTAAATAACTTATGTTTATCAACCATTATTCTTGTTATTAAATATTCCTTACATTCTAGGAAGAAATATGAAACAATTATTCATAACGGATAAGAAAATCCCTATAATAGTTAAGAATTGCATTTCAAGCTTTATTAGCGTTAATCCACTCAGCTAGGTCTACGACAGAAAATTTTAATCAGATGAGTTTTTTATTAGCTTTAATCAGCTCAGCTAGGGCAATGACAGAAAATTTTAATCAGATGAGTTTTTATTAGCTTTAATCAGCTCAGCTAGGGCAGTGACAGAAAATGTTAGCAAGATGAGCTTTTTATTAGCTTTAATCAGCTCAGCTAGGGCAATGACAGAAAATGTTAGCAAGATGATTTTTTCATTAGTTCTAATCAGCTAAACTAGATCAATGACAGAAAATGTTAACAAGATGAGCTTTTTATTAGCTTTAATCAGCTTAGCTTGGTCAATGACAGAAAATGTTAGCAAGATAATTTTTTCATTAGCTCTAATCAGCTAAACTAGATCAATGACAGAAAATGTTAACAAGATGAGTTTTTTATTAGCTTTAATCAGCTTAGCTTGGTCAATGATAGAAAATGTGAACCAGGTGTTTAGGTGTGGATAATGGTCTGGTGTAGGTTTTCTTTACAAGTACACTTTTATATTTACGTTCATGAAGAGTATGAAATATGAATATTGAAACTTAATGAAAGATGTAGTAAAACATACAGCATATTTCAGTTGTAACTGCTTAATAATCAATAATGGCTCTTCTGGATATGATATTTTGGTGCTAAATTTTCTCAAAATGCTCAGAGCTACTCTACTTCCAGAATGTACTATAACAGTTTCAATACGTTTAATGGCTGAAATGCATTTTTGGAAAATCTTTTGTTCACTAAGTTTTAACATTCAGTCTCCTAGATTAAAATTTATGAACACACACACAACAAGACATAGAAATGTAACAGCTAATTCTATACACACTAAAACATACATAGAATCAACAACTAGATAAAAAAGAAATAGAAAATTAAATTGCTTCTAAATTGGACTACAACAAACTTATTATTAAATTTGCAAAACAGAAAGTGAGGAAAATTAGCACATAAAGAAAAACATAAACATCTATTTGTATGTAAAAGTATGATAAATTGGTTTACCTTTCCACCTATACGGACTTGAGCCTGCAACTTGCTTAGCTTCTCAGCATTCATATCTACTAATAAAAATTCAGGATTTATTTTTACTGGTCTTCTATTACAAAGGAAAGTGTTTTTAGCAACATTAATGAAAATTATTCATAAACTTTAAAAATAGCATAAAGAGGAAACATAATTCTTCCCAAAACTAATTTGATTAACAAATAAAAAGTAGCCAGACCTACTTTCAAGAGATGTTCTTTACTTGCATCCTTCAGTTGCTACCATTAAAAACATTTTACAGTTGATAAAAAGGAAAGTTTACATTTTCCTATACCGAAAATGTACATCCATTAATACTTACCCCCGCTCACACTTTAGCTTTATCTCAATAAAAGGTTCTCTTCTTTGCCCATCTAAGCAATGGTACAAATTCTACCTCACTTGCTTCAGTCTTTACACCCTACTATATTACCCCTAGTGATTTTAATCTTGTGATTCTCTCCACCTATGTCAATGCACCCTCTATATCCGATCCGTATACAAGCTTTCCGTTATTCTTTCTTGTTCACTTTCTCAAGACTGGCAAGATTATCAGACCCAAACACTGGCTATCATGGGGAGGAGGAGGGGAGATAAGTATTCTCAAAAATACATTTTCAGTATAAGAAAATGTAAACTTCCAAAACACACTTACCTCTCCTCACACTTTAGCTAGAATCCCACATTGACCAGGTGGAAGAGCCAGTGAGAACAAGATCTGCACAGAAAGCATCTGCATAGTAAAACAGGTGTGCAATATTGAGATATAATAAAGCACACTAGTGGGCTCCACACTACTTCTGGAACAGGTATGCTCTTTGCCCAGATAAAGTGAAATCTAAACGTGGGTGGTAAAGGCCAACCAGCTATAGAGTCAACATTGTTCATTATCATGAAATTCTTCCAGGCCACATGTATGAGATTCCATGTCTCATCATTGGAATTATAGGGCTGTGGACTCAAAGCTAGATCCAAGGTGTAGTGGCTAGAGAATGGGGACCACAATATGATATACTTATATAATAGAAATTTGACTTGAAGATAACCCAACCTAAAAGTTACAGGATGTTGCATGTCGAGCCACCAGAATTACGAAGAGAAGGCAAGCAACAACTAAGTGGACAAACCCCCACTCAAACATGAAGAAGCTCAGAATGCAACAAACTGAACTAGAAATTATAGAACCAATTCACATCTCACTTAACCTGAAGAAACAGAACTCATCCGGCCTGGTATTACAAACCAAACTTCTCAACCTGGAAGGCAAGGTAACACCTCCTGCTCCAGGAATTATGAGGATGTGGAACTAACAAACTTCAACCAATGGCTCACAGATGTGCCGCTCCATGTTATGAATTACGAAGAGTTATGGACCCTCTTCCATGATCATGAAAAGTAAGAGAATGACCAAAAAGAATGGTCACGCTCACACAACCCGGATAGCAAAGTGTCATCTCTGAATCAGAATTATGAGGATAATTCCATGTAGGCTGGACCAGCTCCCCACTCAACATCTGGGAAAACCATCCAGGGTTAAGAGTGGGAGGGTAACCAGCTTTGCCCTCTTCTCCTTGAGTGGAATAAAGAGTAAAAAAAAATCACTCAGAAGGAACAGATCACTCCAGCAACTGAAAACTGACAGTGGTAAGGACTCTACTTGCTCTACTAGAAGAGAGGGGGGGTTGCATTGGAGAGTCCTGAGGAATGATGCTCTGGAGACAGTGAATTGGTGAACAATGTTCCCCATTTTGAAAAGCAAACCAACCCGATTTGTTCAATCCAGGGGTTAGCAGGAAAAGCTAAGTCCTCTTATGCTTTATTCATGATAGTCCATGAGTGGTGATCCAGTATTGACATAGAACAATTGTTCACTATCCGGAAAGTGCCAAGGAAGTCTCATGGAACATCCTATCTCAACAGAGCTCTTTGCTACAAGTAATTTAGTTATTAGTCTACTGGTAGCTAGTGCAGATTTGTGAAAGCATACCTGACCAAGCAACACTTGCCAAAGGGTGGGATCCAAATGAGAATGACTAAAAGGTCCCTGAAAAGGAATGAAATTACTCACCTCTGTCACAATCAAGCCAGGGTGTGTAGAATAGCCACAGGTGTAGCTGAAACCCATCCGAGGAGGAGACAGTCTAAATCATGCAAGTAGTGTGATATAAGTGTGTTAAATTTGGTCCACATACTAACCTGTACAATTTCCTCCAGCAAGTGATGCAACTGAGCTGCCAGGGACATTGATATATGTCAAACTCAATGAGATGAGACCCAAAGAAGTCTTCGCTCTTCCAATTGATGAATCAAACTTCTAAAAGTGACAGGGGATAAGCTGCAAGTAACTGAAGGCTCTTAATGGATAAAAAACTGTGACATGATCTTTGAAATGCTTCAGTGAATGCCACATAACATTGGCGAGCCTGAACAGGGTAGCATAAAAGACAATCTGTATCTGAAAGGTTGTATAAATGGGAAATGGAGGGAAGATAAATAGGACAGAAAGCCTAATCTCCTTTCCCAGCTGTTGCAATTTTAGGTAGAAAGGACTTTGTATAGAACAGAACATAGTCAGAATGGTACAGTGTCCTATAAACATGGAATGCAAACACAGCAGTACTTCAACTCCACTAGCCAATAACAGAAGAAAAATGTGAACATGACCCTAAAGGTTCAAATTGGTGGACATGATAATACATGGAGAGCCACCATAATATTCCAGTTAGGAACCTGGAAAAGGCGATGAGGACAGATAATCTTAAATTATTTCAAAAGTAATGACAAACCAGGGCCTCAAAAAACTTTTCTTCACATAGAAAAATGAAAAGAAGCTGATAAGGCAGCCTTATACAGTCCAACAAACTTTAAAGGTCAACTTTTGTCAAACAACCATGTCAAAAATTGAGAAACATGCTGTACAGTGGGATGCAAAGGGTTACACCCCTTTCTGAGAGACCACTGAAGATAAGTAAACCAATTCCTTTGATAAACTTCTGAAGAAGAATGTCAAATGGAATGTGTTAATAAGGATGCCACTTGAGATGTCAAAGCAATGGACCACATAAAAGCCAGGTGTGAAGTTGATTAACAGCAACTGCTGGATGAAAAAAGTCTGACAGATGCTGGGGAACAGGTGGATACTCCTGAAGAAACTGGAGGAGTGGAAACCAGGGCTGACCCAGCCAATATTGGTGCCACCAGAAGAACTCAACTGGGCATGGAGCAAATCAGTGCCACAACCATGGAGAGCAGATGAATCAAAGGGAACATATAAAAATGAAGACCCGTCCAATCCTGGCTGAGAGCTTCTACTCTGAAAGCCAGAGGGTGAGGTACTGGAAACCAGAAGGATGGGAGCTGAGCATTCCAATGTGTGAAAAAAGTATCAATCTGTGATGTCCCAAGACAAGAGCAAATCCATTGAAAAACTTGAGGAAGGAAAATCTCTGTTGAGACAAGAGAACTGGTCAGCCATTAGATTCATTACCCCTGGAACATGAAGGAGAACAATCTGATGTTTGTATGAAAAATGGAGAAGATCCACTGTCCAAAAACAAAGAGATCTGGAATAAGTACCTCCTTGATTTGAAAACAATGAGACTACTGTGGACGATTGAATCATTACCACCTTCCTTTGCAACATTTCAAGACCCTGATTTATAGCTCACTGAACTGCTAAACATTCTAAGTGATTGATGTGGAGAGAAGCGTCCTCTGCATTCCAAAGTTCCTGGAATTCCATATTGTCTATACAAGCACCCCAGCCCTGGAGAGAACCATTATTGAACAGATGTATCTTTGGTCATGGAATTAGTAGAGGGACACCTATAGTTGGGTTGTTCCTGTTCAACCACCAGCTGAGATCCAGCACACTGGAATCTGACAGTCTCTCTGGACAATCCAGCATGTCTATCCATGCAAATGTTCCACTAGTCCCATAACAACTACTGAAGAGAAATCATGTGGGCCTGACCTAAAGCAATGAGTGATTCCAAGGATCCCCATAAACCCAAAAGAGATAGAACTGTATGTGGTGGTGGTGGAGAAGAAGACAACTGTATTTGAAGAACCGCCTGTTCCATGGCCTGAAAGACTAAAGGAGAAGGTTGGCCGCAGCCAAGTCTGGAATTGAAAAACACCTCTAAATGTATGAGGTACTGTGTGGACTGTATGTTCAACCTCCTCCTGAGAAGTTGAATGACCCACTGATCTGCAGTGAATGTCTCCCATACAGACAAGAACCATCTGAGATGAGACCCCACCAGGTAGTCGCCAACACCGAAATCTGAGCTCCACCCTGGAGGAGGATCCCCACTGGCAAGGTTGAAATCGTCCTTGTGTTCAAATATATTGTGGTACCAATTCAGGAGGTCTGGAAACATGAACGGGAGATGCAGTAAACCATCCTGTAGAAAAAGAAAAATGTATACGAGCCACATCTACTCGATATTCCATAGATTCAAGAATTCCTGCAAAAAGAGATTATCTGAGAAAAGGAGCTTTTCTTAGATCCCTAAGAGCCAATGCAGAAACACAAACTCCCTCCAAAAGATCCCAGCAACAAACAAACCATGATACCTTGGAGGGAGCAGAAGCCTGACCAAAGTGGAAATCAATAAATGACGACGATCCTCAGACATTTGAGTAGGGGACCTGTAATAGGCCTCAGACAACAGTTGCAAAGATGATAAAAAATAGAAAACAGTTGTAAGTGACAGACAAATTCTGAAAATTAAGATTGCATAGGATGAAGAGTGGCATATTGTTTAAAGCCCCAAATAGAAAGTAGAGGGTCTAACCTCTGAGAGTACAAAAAAGGGTTTTTCAGGCAATGGTTAGCTGAGGCATGATAATCCAATGAACGAGGAGAACAAGGCATGGCAGTACCCTCCCTCCAATGATCTGCAAACCTCCTTGGATGCACTGTGATGTCTGGCACAGGAGGAAGGACCAGATAATCAGACAAACTAGGTGAAGATTCACAAGCCACAGGATAAGTACTCAAAACATTTAAAACATACATTACTGGTTGTAAAAAAAGGGTGCAAAAAGCTGGAGCCAAGGGGATGCTCCAGAAACAAGTCACTTCCAAAACATGCAAAGGCTAGCCCTCAGAGAGGTAAAATATCAGATAGTAACAAGAGAACTATGAATAAAAGAGAGATCCCATGAGGCTGTATAAGACAGAAATCCTACCATGGCCTCCTAGTTAAAAAAAAAAAAAGCCAGAAACAAAGTGAGAAGAAATAAATGCTGATGAACGGCAACACCTCAAGATTCCAAAATATAATAAATAGTCCAAAAAAACATCATCACAAAAAAGGAAGTGAATGTCAGAAATTAAGGCATATCAACAAAGTACATCCCAGAACAAAGAAACTAAGTTAAATGAGACATAAGGGATAAAGAAAATCAAGGGCAAGGTGGAAAATAGGTATGTGCAAATCTCCTTGATACATCTAGTATGGTTTTATATAATGTCTCTGAAAGAAGGTGAAGCATGGACAGGTAGCAAAATTCAATAAATAATGAGATGAAAACAAGCAGATAGAAAGCATGAGAGAGAGAAAGAAGGAAAAAGAGAGGAAATCTTCATGCTGAAAGAAGAGATTCAAGTGAGTGAGGATCAATGAACAAGGTAGCTAGAGAATCAGCAACAAAAATGGAGGAAAAGAAAACAAAAGACACACACTTGTGTAATCCAAACAGTGAAGGACAAAGGTGGGATTACCTAATCCTCGATAGGAATAGGGAACCTAAAGCAAAAGTATGCGTGGAACAGTAGGTTAAATTCATCCAAAGATGGAGCAGGCTCAACTAAAGAAACAGAAGCAAAAGGTAAGGAATCAAATTTAAGATAATTTGAATCAAAGGTCTATCCAAGACATTTAAAACTTGATATCTTTCTCATAATCAATAAAATAAAGGAAAGAAGGGCTGTACTTCAACAGATAACAAAAGATTAATATAATATATGCAAAAATCCATTAATTCTTAAAAAGAACACCTCTGAACAAAGCATTGTCAAGGGAAATAATTAGCTTTGTTGCAACTCTAGTACTCATGGGGATTACATATCCCCCTGCAACTGGTAACGGACTATAATTTAATGATTACATCAAAGGCTAAACAGTCCAAGCTGATATGTGTAGGGAAAGGAGTTCTGTTCAAATCTTGTGACATGCCTAAAAATCTTCTAAGCAGATGCACTGTTGGTTTTGTGAAGAGATGAATAGTCTTTCTGACCACATTTATAGCCTACAGTATATATAATGAACTGTTATCTAGTTAGTAGTTATAAACACCAATATAATGTATAAAGAGCTACTTTTAAAAATATGAGGGCCCAAAAGCAAATTTGGAGGGCCCTTTATTGAGCATTGACAAGACACAGCTTTTGAAATTTGAAGCCAAATGTGTACTGTCATTTTGTGCTGAGTGATGCTGATAACTAGTAAACTACTACAATAGTACAAAGAGGAATAATGGTCTGCTAAAATTTGTGGGTCATCATAATTTAAATTATAATTTTGATGGGAGTAACCTTAACAATGTTATGGTAGAAAAAGATCTTGATGTTTGGGTTAATCAGTTTCTCAAGACATCCAAGAAGTACATTGTTGCTAGTATTAGGATCACTGTTACTATAGTGTTAGTTTTAATCACATAAATTAAATACGTTATTGAGTAAGACTAAAAAAAGTCAAAATACCATACGTATTATAATTTATATTATTGTTAACATACTGAACAGCGTTAAGTAAGGCGCAGACCCACGACTTCATCCAATTAGTAGAATAATTAATGCAGTATTAATTGTAAATAATAGGCTTCGCATAATTCATTTTTAATTCTAAATTATGACTATGAGTAAGTAACTTTTTTCTTAAGATGGGAAACAACCGTTTCACTCAGACTTGAATCTCAGTCAAATATCAAATATATAACAAATTTGATAATCTCTTAAGCTTTCTACGTACAAAAATGTTCAATCACAGAAACGAAATAACCTAAGTTACTATACTTAAATTACAAAACAAATCTTAAAAAATATTAAACACTCACTTTCCTTAAAACTATGACCAACACGAGGGCAAGATGGCGCAAAACATACCACGCTGAATTTATTTACATATTACCGCTTTCTGATTGAAATTTTAAACTATGAAACACAAACGACTAAATCTAAATATTCTTAACATATTTAAATTAAAAATATAACATTGTAATACTACGAAACAAGCATTGTATTTTAATTTACGTACATTTTCGTTTCTACAAGCCTTCTTTTTGTTATATATAATAAAAATAAAACTTTTAAAAACAAAAATTGTGTATCTGAAGCGTCTTTACCCATCAGTCATAGATCGCTAACTTTATTTTTTAGTAACACGATTACGAGTTTGTTTCGAAACTACAAAGTTATACAGTGGGCTATCTGTGCTCTTCCCACCACGGGTATCGAAATCCGGTTTCTAGTGTTGTAAGTCCGCAGACATACCGCTGTGCCACTGGGGGGCGATGATTATGAGCAAGCTAAAGATTACAAAAAAATACAAAATTGTTTCAGATGCTTTGAAATAGGTCATAAAATACCATTATCTATAGAAACATTTACTCACAAAAGAGCTAACACTACATGGAAGCCTAGTGATCAAACTAAAAAGAACAAAGTGTTTCCGTTGCTACTCTGTATGTTAAATACGTTACGAAATAGAGTTGTATTATTTTAGCATGAAATAAAGTAGATGCGTAAATGTTTTCGTTTTCAACAATCTGGTATTGTTATCAACCTCCATAGAGATAGATAATTATTATATGTAATCGTATAAAGTGAGTAAATTAACTGTGAGATTTTTTAAACTTCTAACTAATCTTTCAACATGTAGCGGCATCTATTATGAGATATCATATCTCAGGAAATATAAATATTAAAGACTGGCGATACAGCGATACGATACGAGTATCGTATCGTTAAGCCTTGATACAATTGTATCTATACATCGTCCGATACCATATGCTTTGTGTATCTTCACGAAATTCGGCAAGATTGCAGTTAAACATTATAAGCATTTTGTACATTTGAATTTGTTTGAAGTTGAGCACAAAGCAACACCATGGGCTATCTGTGCTCTATCCACCACGGGTATCGAAACCCGGTTTCTAGAATTGTAAGTCCCCATTTCATTTTCAGATCCTGTTTTCTTCACCCATCGTTATGGCTACTAAGAAAAGAAAAGTAGATGCCGAGTGTCATCTTTTCAATGAAGAATTGGGAGAAAAGTACTTCTTTGTGGAAACAAACAACCAGAGAGCTAGTTGCATGATATGCAACGAAAGTGTTGCCGTTTTGAACGAGTACAATCTTCGGCATCACTATGAAACAAAACATCTGTCAACATATTCGAAGTTTTCTGGAAAGTTGCGTTCTGAGAAATTTGAGTTCAAGAACTGTACTTTGGAATCTCAAAGGAATCTCTTCACGAGAATGTTTGCTGAAAATGAATCTGTCACTGATACAAGTTACAAAATAGTGCATAAGATGGCAGAGCGAGGAAAACCGTTTACTGACGGCAACTTCATCAAAAAGTGTATGATGGAAGCAGCAAATGACTTGTGTCCTGAGAAAGCCAATTTGCCTGGAAGTATCAGCCTTTCAGCAAGTTCAATTGTGCGGAGAACAGAAGAACTTGGAGAGAACATGGTATTACAGATACGCGAGAAAGCTAGGAACTTCTTGTGGTATTCTCTGGTGCTGGATGAGTCTACTGATCTCTCTTCACAAATAAGTATTATTTTAAAAAAAAGATAAATTTATTTCTCTCGTGTTCATTCATGGTGTTAATTTGGACTTTAAGATCACAGAAGAGTTGGCATCCGTTTGCAGCATGCACGGAATAACAACTGGAGAAGACATTTTCATAGTAGTGCAGAAAACTTTGCAAGGCTATAACCTTCAGTGGAATCAGATTCGATGTGTTACAGTTGATAGAGGAAAAAACATGGCTGGAGTGAGGAAGGGTCTGGTGGGGCAGATACGAACTAAGTTGGAAGATCTTCAACTCCGGGCGCTCTGTTTATACACTGCATTATACATCAGTAAGCACTCTGTGCGAAAGACTTAGATATTTCTTGAATACTGAAACCAGTCGTTTCTGCGGTGAACTTCATTCGAGGTCATGCACTTAATCACCGCCAGTTCCAGGCTTTTCTTGAAAAAATTGATTCTGAATTCTGTGACTTGCCTTATCACACAGCAGTGAGGTGGCTCAGCTGAGGTAAAGTCCTGTTTCATTTTTATAAGCTCCGAAGAGAAATATATATTTTTTTCACCGAAAAGGATAGAGCTGATCCACTTCTGTCAGATCCTACCTGGCTGTCAAAGTTGTCATTTTTGGTTGACATCACATTTCACATGAATGAATTGAACTTGAAACTTCAAGGAAAGGATAATCTTATCTGTGATCTCTACAGAATCATCAAAGGATTTCGGAAAAGCTATCATTGTTTGAAGCACAACTGGAAGTTTCAAAGTGTTTCAAAGAGTTTCGCGCTGGAATCGCAGAAGATGTCAACCTCGAGTTTCCGAAGAC